AAGGACCATGTGGTATTCCAGAATTAAAGAAATGTTCAGATCTTTTGTGAGGAGCTATCGGCCCTTGCAGACAGTATTGACTTTAACGCGTAGGAGAAAGTTGACCCAGCTCAACCAACACTGGAAGACATGATCTTCGGGGCCGACGACGTTATGGAGGGTGGTGGCCTTTCCAATGGCAAAGAGATGGAAGTCGACCAATCACTAATAGGATCGAAGCGTCGTCATGACGAACAGCTGGAGGGATCATGGAAGCGTTGGCATGGGGAAGCGTCATCAGAGGATGAAGAGGAGTATGAAGAGGCGACCCCCGCTGATACTGCCGTCTAACAAGAGTGGGTGAGAAACATGTAAAAAAAAATACCAGGCATGTCTGTACAATTACTAGGTTAGATTTAAAAACCTTGATGAAGATACGTTTGCCGTGTATGTCTTTGGATGAGCAATTCATTTTTGATGCATGGGATTTAGAGTATCCTGTTTCTTTGCCGTGTATGCCTCTTGATGAGCTGAAGGTGGACTTAGTAATGACTAGGCTTAGCAAAGTTTTGCAATCATTCAGGTTTTTAAGATATGACCATGAGGTCCACATTCATTTTATTCAAATGCCTATTTGGGGGAAGTCAAACAAAAATGGTGAAGATGGCGGGAGTGGGGAAGAATTTGTTAAACGCAAAAGGTCCATCGTTCAAACAGACGACAAGGGTACAAATACACGTTGTGCTCAGGCAATTGTAATGGGCACTGCCTCGCTCACATAGAACCGCCCTCTGGAAATAAACAATATGAAGCGCGGCAGAGCAATTCAGGGTATTAAGGCCTCCAAATTGCATAAAGACGCAGGGATGCCAGAAGGACCATGTGGTATTCCAGAATTAAAGAAATTTTCAGATTTTTTGACCGAATTCAGAATCATAGTAGTTTCGCGCCACCACATGATTCAAATGATTTTTCAAGGGGCTTTTAGAAGACCTCATACAATTTTTTTTGTATCAGTACAAAGAGCATTTCGATTTGATACAGTCGATGTCTGGATTCTGTAACAGAAGCAATTATTGCTTAGAATATCTAACAGGATACAATGAGTCCAGAGCAGAGCAGAGTACAGGTGTAGCGAGAGCAGAACAGAGCACAGGTGTAGTGCAAGATGTAAACTGTGCTTCACTGAAGGGCGTAAGTCCGGTGCAAATGAAAGATTTAGTAATGGTAACAACTGCAACAGAAGTTTCAGGGATGCAGTTTGTTATTGTAATCATAAGCGAAAATTATTCAAAGGCCATCAATCAGTTTATGCAAAACAAGGCTTATGTTGGTTCCCCACCAGAGAAAAAGGAAACAGGAACCCGAAGATGGTATGAATACGGAGAGAAGAACCGAGTTTAATAAGTTGTATGAAGAAGAGGTTATATTGCTGCTAGCATACTGAACCTCTAGATATTTTATGTCACTGCTGTCAATAGTTTTGGTCGTTGTTTAAACAGGTAACCTCCTTGGGACGAGATGATGATGGTGTGGATCCTTTCAAAAATTGTATAACTATCGCCTCATCTTGCAATTTAAACTTTAGATACCTTTTTCTGGCCCCTGAAACCATACAATATTACCTCCGCATGGTTATGAAACTAAAGAAAATCAATCCAAGAAAGCTCTACAGTGGATGCGCTATGTTAATAAACTTGAAAGGATTCAAATACAGCATGCGAGAAATAGGGGAGAAAAGAAGGTCGGAAAATACAAATTTGATGGATTTTGTCCTTACACCAAAACTTTTTATGAGTTTCAAGGGTGTTTTTGGAATGGTTGTCCCAAGTGTTATACTGATCGAACCACTGTAAATAAAAGAAGTAATCAGACAATGAACGAGTCCTACATGTACATGCGCACACTGGAGAAAAAAAGAGTCATTCAAATATATATGCCCTTCAGTGCACTTATGTCGAGATGTGGGAATGTGAGTGGGATAGCAATTGTACACAACGATGTCATGTTTCAACGTGTTATTATACACATTTATCAATCCATCCACAATGACGATCTATTTGACATCGAAATTCATCAAGGCTGCAAGCTGGGAAGTGACGGTGTACGTCTTCCAATACTTCCACCGAAACAAATCTTCCCTATATCAAGCTCCATCAAGATCTGGTAGACATCGTCAGTGACGAAGAGTTGTACCTGGTCCTGGACAAGAATCATCTGAAAGGCCCTTTGCTATCCTTTATGCCGAAAGCGTATAGTAACTGAAAATTTTGACGACGCATCTGAATATTTTGGGTTGATCAAATGTAAAGTCTACCCCTGTCAAATTTGTATCACCCGCTACTGCCATACACGGCAAGTAATAAATTAATGTTTCTCCTGAGCTGCACATGCTTAGAACAGTCCCAAAAGACACTGTGTGACCATAATGATGAAGAAAGAGCATTGAGGGCTACCTGGGTGTCAGTCGAAATCAAAAAAGTCCATTGAGTTAGGATATAAAGTTCTTGACATAGACATCGTGTGGCACTTTGATAAAAGAGAACAATACGAGCCAGATAGTAAGGAAGGTGGTTTATTCAGCTCCTATGTTAACACAGGAAGATATACAATGGTATATTGAAGAGTGCTATCAATATGAGGGCATTATGTAAGACCGAAACAAGATAGAGAAAAACCGTGGGTTAAGGGCCTTGGCCAAATTCATGCTTAATAACTGTTGGGGAAAATTTGGGCAGCAAACAAACCAAAGTTGTATCAGAGCTGCCGGAATTATTTAACTTGTTGGTTTCTGATGAAAACATTGTGACACACATCAATTTCAACAATGATAAAGTAGCCGAGGTTAAGTTTGAACAAGAAACTGCGATTATAGAACCGAATCCTCGTACCAATGTGGTTATAGCCGCATTCACCACAGCCCATGCTTGGCTACAGCTGTTAAACCCCAAATCCATACTGTACTTCGACATAGATAGTATAATCTACATGTATGTTGAAAGACCGGGCAAGTATTACCATCCTTTGGGGCGACTATTTAGGACAAGCTACAGATGAAATTGACCCTAATGATGGAAATACATTGACTGCTTTGTAACAGGGTGACCAAAAAATGATGCATATCCGTTAGACACAGCCAAAACATGTTGCAAAGAGAGGATTCAGGTTAAATTATCGAAACTCAAAAAGGAAATAATGAAGCAGTGTCAAAGGTCGTCAGAGTTGATTATAGATGCCAAAATCAGTATAACGGATCCGTATAAAATTATGTGTAACCCTACAACCAAGCAAATTATAACTAGATCTACGAAAAAAGACTACTGATTAAAGGTTTTTTTTGGAAGGGGGGTTTAAAAAAAAAAGCATTTTGAAAAGGGTACTTGTATATTTGTGCAAGAGTGGGCTGATAAGTTCCACTGCAGTTAAAGTTCAGCGAGCATGCAGGATAAGATGGTTGTTAACTGGTCAGAGTGTAGCCAGTGTATTTTGAAACTTGGTAGCCCTCATCCATACATTAATGCAGTTCAAGGAAAGTGATGCCACAGTGAACCATGAGGAACTATCCACTAAATGTGGCAGTACCAAGTTTTACTTGTGAATTTTCAGTGTTTTAAATAGGAGGTGCCCCCCTTAGAAAAGAAAACTATTATAGATTTACTTACCATCCCCCCCTTGTTGGTAGTGTTCCCCCCCCCCCTTTTGTTGGTAGTGTTTCCCCCTGTTTGTTTACTTTAGCCCACACGTTACCCCTATATAAGCTGCCACATGTTCCAGCCTCATTCAGTTTAGCCAGCAGACAGCAGAGACAAGTTCTATATTCATTTATGTTCCTCCTACCTGGAGAGTGGTTTTCTGCTTGAAGTTTATCTGCTGATGGGAGTCAATTGGTGAGTTTTCTTGTGTATACCAATTTTCAAATATATCCCGTTTTAGTTCATTAAAAGTCTGTTTAGTTCACAGAGTAAAGGTTGACTCTGGTAAGTTTAGATCTTGGGAACTTCAAGTTTTGAAGTTTAGATACCCTTTTTGCTTAAGACAAATTCAGTGTTTTATTTCTATTGATGATGGTTGTTTTATCCTACTTAATGAAAGATTTCGTTTTTCAACAAGTTCCTTTTCAAGTTCTTTTGAGAAAAGTTTCTTAGTTGCTCTGTTTGTTTTCAACCTTGGTTATACTTAAGGATAGATTTTTGTTTTATTATTAAGAAAGGTTGAGGGTTCATTTGGATTCTAGATTTAGATTTTGTGTTTTTCTGGTACATTTTCTTAGATGTTAAAGGTTTTTTTTTTTTCTTCACCATGTGCTTTGGTTATATCTAAAGAGATTTCCTTTGTTCCCAGGTTCAATGGCCTAGTGTTCAGAGTTTTGAGCCAGTAGAGTTATTTTATGATGTGCTAAGCCTTCACTTTGGGGATTAGTGCCTCCCACTTCCCTTGGCTTGTTTATTGCTTAATGAATATGCATTAGATCATTATGTTTTCTCTTTTATTCATAAACTAAGCAGTCACAGATACAAGGCCATGGATTTTTTTAAAGTTAGCCGATAAAATTTCGAGCATAATAGATCACGACCCAAGACCTTCAGCCGTCATTGGGCCCAATCGAGGATCTGCAATGGATGTATGAGGACCAGCTCCAAGACCGGTGGGTAGCCCGTACACCTATTTACAGGACTGCCTCCATCAATTTAATAAGGTGGCAAAGAAGATGCTCGCCAAGGGTATCATCAAAGAGGACCGCCAAATGCCCATGAAGGAACTGGATAAAATGCAGCGTTTGTACAAGGACCCGCTCATCTGTCTGGAAATGTTTCTGTTGTGGAGGGAGTTCAAGGAATGGGAAAAACGTCAGTTTTTCAAACTGCCCCTAACTTATTTTAGTGATGCGAGCTCATCACATTAACAATATGGTCTTTTTAGGACCATTGTATTTTCGAAAAAGACTTTGAAATTTCACGCCTGTGAACATACTTCTTTCACCTCCGCTGTTTTTCTTTCACATGGATTAACGACATCCATCTTCATGTAAGTACACAATCATTCAGTCCTTTTCTGAACTTTGTATCTCACTGTCTAGGCCCATTCCAGGATCTGCAATGGATGTACGAGGACCGGCTCCAAGACGGGTACCCGTACACCTATTTACAAGACTGCCTCAGTCAATTTAATAAGGTGGCAAAGAAGATGCTCGCCATGGGTATCATCGAAGAGGAACGACGACTTCACCAGAAGGAACTGGATAAAATGCAGCGTGTTTACAACAACCCACTCATCTGTCTGGAAATATTTCTGTTGTGGAGGGAGCTCAAGGAACTCGAAAAACAGTTTTTCAAACTGCCCCCATGTTATAACTTATTTTAGTGATGCGAGCTCATCACATTAACAATATGGTCCTTTTAAGGACCATTACATTTTCAAAAGTGTTCATGTCTGCGCATGTATTTCTTTCCTTCAGCTATATAAGCAGATTTCAGAGGAGAATGGAAACAAGGAGCGCCCAGGCACCTCTGAATACCAGACCACAGCGTCGGACAACCCCTCAACATCATGGCGGTTCCATCTCCGAGGAAATCGACCTGCCGTGGTCCAGTCCTTCCAAAACCAAGTGTACGTCAAGATCAGGGACTATTTGCAGAGCAAGGGGAAGGGTTTCCCTTTCTGGCTGGTTCGTGAGGAATCAACTTAACACTGGAAGAGTGGAGGGCGTTGGCGAGGTCCATTCCCAACATCAGCAAGGCAGTGGTTGAGGCTGAACGTCAGTGCAGCCTTCCAAAAGAGGATGTGCCCAAGATAGCCCAAGACACCGTAGCTGATTCTGGGAGTACTCCTTGTAGCTCTCCAGTTATTGCAGGTGAAAGTGGGTATAGTATTGAAACCCCACATCCTTAACTTATGCCCAGAAAAACACATGTGCATCTTATTCTGCATTTCACTGACGTAAAGTTGTAAACACTTATTATTTTCACTTATTATTTCGCTTTGATTACTCAACAGCTGATCTTCAGATTTTTATGGAGGAGGAGGAAGAGGAGAAACAGGACGAGGTCAAGAAGGACAAGGCAAACTTGGAGGAGGATGAAGGGAGCGAAGAAGACGAAACAAAGGAAGACAATAAGGAGGAACTATGAGGTGATTTATATTCCTCAATTCATAGAAGTATAATGTTGTTCTATTTTTAAACAAATGCTTGCTGTTGAAATGCTTCCCCTCATCGATACATGGGCGAGGACATTATGTTACGGGTGCTAGGTAAATTACCCCTTGCAAACTCAACACACGTGCATGATGCTAGAGAGGTGGAAGCACATAGAAACGTATTTCGATGAAACTTTTAGCATCTTTTAAATAACATTAATCAGAAAAGGGGATGTATGTTCAAATTCTCCAATTCACCGTATTCATTCATTTTTTAGCCGATGAAATTTCGACCATAATATATCAAGACCCAAGACTTTCAGCCATCGTGGGCCCATTCAAAGATCTGCAATGGATGTATGAGGACCAGCTCCAAGACCGGTGGGTAACCCGTACACCTATTTACAGGACTGCCTCCATCAATTTAATAAGGTGGCAAAGAAGATGCTCGCCAAGGGTATCATTGAAGAGGACCGACGAATTCACCCGCAGGAACTGGATAAAATGCAGCGTGTTTACAACAACCCGCTCATCTGTCTGGAAATGTTTCTGTTGTGGAGGGAGTTCAAGGAACTGGAAAACCGTCGGTTTTTCAAACTGCCCCCATGTTATAACTTATTTTAGTGATGCGAGCTCATCACATTAACAATATGGTCCTTTTAAAGACCATTACATTTTCCAAAAAAAAAGAGAATGGAATTTCATGTCTGCGCATGTATTTCTTTCCCTCAGCTATATAAGCAGATTTCAGAGGAGAATGGAAACAAGGAGCGCCAAGGCACCTCTGAATACCAGACCACAGCGTCGGATAACCCCCTCAACATCATGGCGGTTCCCACTCCGAGGAAATTGGCATGCCATGGTCCAGTCCTTCCAAGACCAAGTGTACGTCAAGATCAGGGACTATTTGCAGAGCAAGGGGAAGGGTTTCCTTTTGTGGCTGGTTTGTGAGGAATCAACTTAACACTGGAAGAGTGAAGGGTGTTGGTAAGGTCCATTCCCAACATCAGTGAGGCCATGGTGGAGACTGAACGTCAGTGCAGCCCCCCAAAAGAGGATGTGCCCAAGATAGCCCAAGACACCGTAGCTGATTCTGGGAATACTCCTTGTAGCTCTCCAGTTATTGCAGGCAAAAGTATGTATTGTATTGAAACCCCATATCCTTAACTTATGCCCAGAAAACTACATGTGCATCATATTTTGCATATGACTGACGTAAACACTTTATGTTTTGTTTTGAATAACTCAACAGTTGATCTTCAGATGGTTCTGGAGGAGGAAGAAGAGAAGCAGGACGAGGTCAAGAAGGACAAGGCAAACTTGGAGGAGGATGAAGGGAGCAAAGAAGATGAAACGAAGGAGGACAATAAGGAGGAACCATGAGGTGATTTATATTCTGCCATTCATAGTAGTAGAATGTTATTCTATTTTGAAACAAATGTTTGCTGTTGAAATGCTCCCCCTCATCAATACATGGGCAAAGATATTACATGTATGTTACGCAGGCTTCTCCCCACGTACAAACGTGCGTATCGGCCCGATACGCTGGAATTTAGGCCCGATACACAGAAAAAAATACCGATCAGTTTTTTCAAGCCCCGATACGCACAATATTATTGTTGCAAACACCATTAACACGCACGGTATAATCATTTCAAACGTCATTACTCGATTTGACAATAAAAAATCTTGACCCAAAAAGCATAAATTTCTGAATTTTGATGCATGATGTCATGTGTGCATTACGTCAAGACCTATGCTTACCGCCGAACGAGTTTCCTGCGCCCGGCTGAGGCCGTTTGCGCTGGCGATCAACGTCGAGTCTAGATAGCCGGCCACAGTACAGCAACGTACACGTTGTGTGCATACCTTGTACTGTGCATGGACGTGTACATTATGTACGATGCATGCACACAACGTGTCTCCGGCTGGCTAGCTAGCTGCAGCCATGCCATTTCGTGCAACGTCGATCCCGGACAGGTACGATCACGCTTCGTTTCGTGTAAAATTACCGAGATTGAGGTTACAAAGTTTTTCGCTGCCACAGTTCTCTGTGTACAATCATGGCAGATAAGCAGTCAAAAATCGGTCTATTCTTTAAGCCAATAAAGTGCACGCCCGCGAAAAGGGGAAATTCAGAGTGCGATGGACCTGGAAGCTCCGGCACGTGCACGGGAACCGAAAAAGGGGCAGCTCCGGAGCCGGGAGAAACGGCCAAGGACAAGAAAAAACGAAAAACGGGTATCGATCCAAAATGGTTTACCAGCTACTCGTGGCTCCAAGCAACTGCCGACGAAACAGGTATGTTCAACAGTACGGGCGCACGCACTAACTCGCGGATTGTCCTCAATAACGCGGAAATCCCCCGATCGGGGGACAAAATGTGTCCCTGTAAACACGGAATGTCTCTGTTTATAGGGACAGTTTTCGAAGATAAGATCTTGCGCCCTAAGGGGATGTCTGGAGCATGTCAAGGATGCTAAAATCGGATTCCTTGTCGAAAGGCACCCCAGTCTAATGTTTCACCTACGTAATCCAATGTATAAATCTCAAATTTATATTCATATTTTATTTAAAGAAGTACCTGAGAAGTGGCTTGATATTAAATAAATATCATCATTTGACAAACACTTGCATGTCTAATACGATCATCGCTTTTATTCTTGTGTGCTCCACTGTTTTACCTTGCAACGGGATGTTGAAGCTGTGATTTTGTGAATTGAGATTCCTTTAGATTCCTTTGGATTACAAAATAGAATAAATTCCTTCTTAATTTAAAAAAAACAACCACATTCAAACTACATTTCAAGGCCCCAGATTTGCTATAAACATGCACCAGAGAGCTCCTTATGTCAAAATTTTTCCGGGGCCCTTAAGCGGGCCCCGGACCCCACGCCGTGGCTTCGCAAGTTTGAGCCACGACAAAAATTCCCCCACATGTTTGAAACAATCCTGGGGAGAACCCTGTTACGGATACGAGGTAGACTACCCCTCGCAAACTCAACACACGTGCATGATGCTAGAGAGGTGGAAGCACATAGAAATGTATTTTGATAATGCTTTTGGCGATCTTTTGAATAAGATTTATCAGAAAAACGAATGTTTGTTCAAATTCTTCAATTCACTGAATTCATTCATTTAAGTTAGCTGATGAAATTTCAACCATAATAGATCAAGACCCAAGACTTTCAGGTGTCATAGACCCATTTGAGGATCTGCAATGGATGTATGAGGACCAGCTCCAAGATGAGTACCCGTACGCCTATTTACAAGACTGCCTCCTTCAATTTCATAAGGTGGCAAAGAAGATGCTCGCCAAGGGTAGCATTGAAGAGGACCGACGAATTCACCCGAAGGAACTAGATAAAATGCAGCGTGTTTACAACAACCCGATCATCTGTCTGGAAATGTGTCTGTTGTGGAGGGAATTCAAAGAACTGGAAAAAACGTTAGTTTTTCAAACTGCCCCCATATTATAACTTATTTTAGTGATGCGAACACATCACATTAACAATATGGTCCTTTTAGGGCCAATACATTTTCAAGAAAGCGTTTGGAATTTCACGTCTGTGAAACAATAGACTATCTAGGCTTCCTTTTTAATTCTTATTGTATTTGCATTTTATTAACCTTTGAAATACAAGAGTAGGGGTAAAATCACAGTCAAGGACCATACCTAAACTTAGCAGTGACAGATACAAGACCATGGATTTCTTTTTAAGTTAGCCGATGAAATTTCGACCATAATAGATCAAGATCCAAGACCTTCAGCCGTCATGGGCCATTTGAGGATTTGCAATGGATGTATGAGGACCGACTCCACAACCGGTACCCATACACCTATTTACTGGACTGCCTCAGTCAATTTAATAAGGTGGCAAAGAAGATGCTTGCCAAGGGTATCATTGAAGAGGACCGACGAATTCACCTGAAGGAACTGGAGATGTTTCTGTTGTGGAGGGAGTTCAAGAAACTGGACAAACGTTAGTTTTTCAAACTGCCCCCATGCTATAACTTATTTTAGTGATGCGAGCTCATCACATTAACAATATGGTCCTTTTAGGACCATCACATTTTCAAAAAGAGTTTAGAATCTCACGTCTGTGAAAAGACCTTTTCACCTCAGCTGTTTTTCTTCACATGGAGTAAGGACGTCCATCTTCATGTACATGTAAGTACCGGTACACATCATTCAGTCCTTTTCTGGACTCTGTTTATTAATATCTAGTTTAAAACATGATGTACCGTAGCAAAAAATATCAACAGTTGTACGGATTGACATACACATTATCAGAAGGCATATTACATAGATTTCCATACAAGTATTTTAACAGTGTGGACATGACCCTACGGATTTTTGTTTTTGCGGAGTGAACTTTTTAACTGTCTCTGGTAAGAGCCATTTGTTTTGAGAATCACATTGCTTATATCTTTGTATAACCGAGCGACGCATTTGGCTGTTTATAATTGTTTCAGGTGTATTCAGGTTCATGAACCTGGATTCGAGAGACATCCTTGGGGGACGAAGAAAAATAGGTTCCAGCATTTGATTTCCAAAAAATAGGTTTTACAACTTTTAAAGGATATTTTAATAAGCCCTTTTTCATGTTGCATTTCTGTTATAATTAGTTTTTATGGTTGTACTAACTATCCAACAGTCAACACAATATAGTAATCACATGTACATTGTTTGTGCACGAACTAATGTACAGCCGATGACTGCAAAAAAATGCTGTCAGTGTAAAAGTAAGTATTAAGAAGTGGTCAATGGAAGATTATAAGAAAGATGCACGCACACTTGATGAAATAAGAGATATGTCGAAGCAGAAAAAAAGAAATAAAGAAATCTTGTGTGGCAGAGCCTATTTTCCCATTTCTTCCCATTCATATGGTAGTCCCAGACCCACTGCATTTGTTTCTTCACATATCTGATCAACTTACTGGTAGTCACTCAGCTTATTCAGATTTTGAAATGAACAGACAAGATATTTCTTAGATCTTTGAGAGGACATCGGGCAATTCACTGGTTGCCTCTTCACTGTGGGTCTTGCAATGATAAATGGTACTAGCACCAGTGCAGTATAGTGCGTGCAAATTTATATCCCTGCAGTTGCAAAATGGCCTACCGTAGAAACACGGAAAATGTGGGAAAGAAGCGGTCCGCAAAGAGCAATGCCAAGAAGATTTTGGCAGAAAAGAAAATGAGTAATCATGGGGCTACAATAAAACTATATGTCTCATTGATACAATGAAAAGTGCCACCATTCAGAATAAAATGGAGGGAATGGAACATACAATGTACATAGTAAAGGAGATGTTTTCCAATTGGAAGCAATTAGCTATTTCCTCTCTAGGGATGCCATACCAGTACTCTAGCAGATATACTGTACTCAAGAAAAGCATACCTTGAAGGATACATCCTAAAATTTGTAGAGTTTGATCAGGATTCTTCAAAAAGTAGTATCACTGATTAATTATTTCATTTTACCAGGGTAGCCCAATCAGTTGTCACGGAACTGTTCTCGCTGGAGGGATTTTTTAGTTTGTATCTGATACT